TCCCATCTAATTTGCCACATGGTTTACGAGTGCGCCTCTTGCACATTGCGGAAGCCATCGCAATCCATGTTCACAAACCTGACCTTTGCATTCAAAAGAGATTCGTACAACCACTTTCCCTGCCCTGGCCATCAGTTTAAGATTTCCTTCAAAAGAACTATTTTTCATACTTCTTCCATTTTTTTAACTTTTGTAATTTTATTTCTGTTGCTTTTGAACTTAATAACTTCTCAACATTCATCTCTTGATTCTTACGTAACTACCATCCTATTGACCATCCGTTAAAATTCTGTTCCTTCTTTGTTTCTTACATTACGCAACTTAGCAACTTCTTGATCACTTTGAATATTAATAATCCTCTTTCTTCCAATTAATCAATGTTAATTTAAATGTCATTATGTAATTATTACGTAACGTATCCACTCGATAAGTATTATATTATTATTGTAAAACGTATATATATTAGTGTAGAGCCATGATGAAAAACTAATTGAAAAGAAATTTCTTCGCTCAATTCGTTCCTTCTTTATTTACCAAATGGCAAAATGGGAATTTTCACTAATATATGATACGATCTTTATATATTATTATCCTAGTCTCAGTTTTCTATTTGCTGCCGATGCCCTCTATTACAATATGGACACTGTAATATCCCATTGTTTTAAGAATGTTTGAGTATAGTAGTTGGGTCGAGAGAGAAGGATTGTCTCTCATTTTTGAAGTGTAAGAATTCCACAAAATTTTACTTGGAAGAAAATCTACCCTGGTTACTGATCACAAACCCTTTAATATCTGTCTTTAGTTTCAAGAAAAAATATTTTATACTGTAACCTATCTCCATTGATGGGGGTTATTGTTATCATGTTGTAAATTCACTATCAAATAAGTCGATCTGGTCCAAACAGATCTCATGCTGTCACAAGGGCACTTGGTATATGAGAAGTCTAGGCTTATTGTTAATTAATAGATTATTCATCTGACCAAAGTCACCACCCATATATCTGGATTACTCCAGTGATGTATATTTATGTATAAAAATATATTTGTGTTTGCTTGATCTGTGCATGGTTTCATCAATTTTAGCTCATTTTTAGTCTCCCTTTGCATAGCTGGATGAGCATGCGTTGGGAAACTTGCTGAATGAATCAGATCTCAGTGCATAACGGATTTCGGCTGAGTACACGTTGTTAACTGGAGATATGTCAGCGGCGTTCTGTGTAGTTGTATGTCCGTGCGTGTGAGTGTGGATTCACCTCTATTCTTGTGCACATGCGTATTAACATCATGGAGTGAACAGACACTTACTTGTCCGGTGCACAGTCACATCTAACTGAGGAAGCTCGCTAGATGGCTAAGGTGTTTTGAATGTTTAACCTCAAACCACCTGGTACGACTAAAGTCTAGGGGGAGTCCGTTCCACCTCTTGAAATGCTCTCATATGGCCATGCATTAATAGCCACTGCCACAGAAGCCCTACTCATGCAATGGGTGTGTTTACAGAAATGAGAGGACGAAAAGCGAACATCCGGCGCTTTAACTGGGTTGTCGGGCGAGTTGGGGAATGGATTCCGAATCAGTTGTGCACAGTAACTTCAGAATTCTAAGGAAACAAATGTCACATAAGCTCATTTTTAGTCACCGGCTACCATAGGACGTTATTTAACGCCGCTCCACCCCGTTGTGGATTAGACCCCTAGATCTCAAGTTTAAAGAGTGATCCCTTAAGAAAACCACTTGCATCTGTTTTTGCCATCGAAAAGTGTCCTAGCTCTTATGCAAATGTAACCACAATTATGAAAAGATTGATATATTTACTTTGCGTCCTCTTTAGCTCAAAGGATAATTGCTATTCATTATGTTCAAGTATACTTGTTTTACTTTACTTTCCCATTCCATTTTCTTTCCATTCGGTGTTTACTTCTATTTCTCAACCCTCTCAGTACCTTGTATGTGTTGAAAGTACTATCCTCCCTAAACTATCTTAAGTCTCTGTCTAGTCGAAATTCGGAATGCTACCACTGAATGTGATGTATAGATCAGACTTCTTAAAACCCCCTGTATTATTTAAATTATCCACCCTCAACGTCCTCAAACTGATGTAGATTGGTCAGCATATGGGTTTGACTAGGTCTTTGAAAGGTCTTAACATTAATGTTTGCTCTTTATCCAAAAAACCATGTTTAAAGACGAATTCGTTCTTCATCTGCCTATCTGGAAAGTTTGTTATATGTGGATTTATCTGGGGGCTATTATTTTCATCCGGTTTGACTGGCGTTAGTGTTTCCTTTAGCACCAGACTAGAGCCATCACTAATCGATTGAATCCACATTAACAGTCGTTTATGTGATGTTAGGATTAGAAAAGTTCATAACAATAGGAAGAAAATGACATGGTATGTAATGTCTCTTCTAAATATCTGCCTATGCAATGATAAATAGCAGTTTGGTTGGAATCAAGGATGAGAACTATCAACAATAAAATCTCTTGGATTCGACAATTATATGGTAGTGCTAATTGGAGATTTAAATACCTAGGTACGGGCATCTAGGCTCAAAGCAGAGTCATTTGTGATCAAATGAAAGTCGTTGTCCCAGGTCAGATAAGAATGACTTTTCTGAAACGTTCCATAAATAATCTGTTTCTGGCCAGCACCTACTTCTGTCACAGTCATCTATCTTTTATTTACTATCATTTAAACACATGAACATAGGTACAAGGAGGCACCCAATAGATCTGCACCACATAAATCGTTCGATTTGTGTGAGGGCTGTAATACTGCCCGGGTGCCGAAACTGAAGCGGGTGGTTTTTTTCTTAGGGGGCCACACCCGGAGCCTTTGACCTAACGATCTGGTCCACAAGGCAGTGGAGCGACGTAGGGAGATGCAGTTTCATGGTTGCCGGTGACCAACGATTGGTTCGCACACAATTTGTTCCCTCAATATACTGGAGCCCATGTGCATCATTTGTTTGGAATCAGGGTTTTTCAACTCTTCTGTGTAGACCCTCTATACCCACTAAACCGGTTAAAGCTCCGGATATTCGCGTTTCGTTTTCTCAATTTCGTAAAGAACAGTAATACCGCGAGAAGGCATTGAGTGGGACTTCCCTGTCAGTGGTTGTATGCACGTGGCCATGTGAGAGCATTTGGAGAGGGAGAGTTGACTCTCCCCACCCTCGACCGTAACAGGGCATTACTAATGTGCTACCTTAACTCCTTCCTCTCCAGTTCATCCCTGAACTCATATTGGTCAAATCCCTATCAACTATTCTTTGTATGGTTGTGCATCGGACTGCCGCTCTTTTTGGAGTACCTATTCGGACTCTGATTATGTCCTTGTTTTCACTTAGCTGACCTTGCTTTTTAATGACTAACAGACGTCTCATCCCAAAGCGATTGACATAGGTGAATTGGTTGAGGCTTCCATTGCAATCACAATACCGAACCGAGTTAGGTTTAAGTCTAGTAGTCAGTCCATCAGGATTTGCATGATGCCTTGGAGATAGCGGGTCGCATCTCTTGCGGTTTTGTGAGACACTTCAGTCTACTTCAACTAACCGTAAGTTTGACGGCAGTTTTAAATTAAAAAGTTTGCGTACTGACTGAGAAGTTTGGTAGTCGGAGATTACTAACGAGATTGAAGTGGCAGCTGCATCTTAACTATCAGAAACTCTTTCAACTCATTCAAGCCAAGTATTCATACTCTGCACTTGTGAAACCTGGCCTCCGAGTTAAGGATGTTCGGGAATCGTTCCATTGTTCTTGTCTCCAAAGAATTGCTGACATCCGTGGTAACGCCATGTTAGTAAAGCTAAGGTTTAGCAATGTGTGTTTTAGCACATCGACAATAATTCAGTCGATATCATTACTTTAAAATACTAACTCCGGTAGCTTGTACATGTGTTACAAATGTTATCTCAGCGATTTGTGAACCTTGAAACTGGGTAGATAAAGCGAATAGTCGGTTTATGACTCAACACCGTAGTATGGAAGGAGGCTGTGTAGAACTTCTCACTTGAGGTCCTGTAGATGGTAGGACTCAGTGGGTTGAAACATGATCAGAAGTAATTGAGAACATAAGGTAATAGCGATCCCATTGTGGTTTACTTTGCATTCTTCATAGAAACTGATGAGAACTCCATTAACTGAAAGAACTCTTTCTGATGGTATTTCTAACTGACTTGTTTTTCTCATTATATGCTACTCGTCAACTTATTTTCTTCTTCGCTTCTGATTTTAATCCATTTTTTTTCTCTCATCTCAATGTTACTGAAATCAATGCTTCAGGTTTCAAACCACAAGCTTTGTTATCTAATTTTACAATAAGTACCCAAAATTTATCCGAAATAGATAACCTCAATGTGAAACATTGCATGAGTTACCGCATCTTATCAGTCTTTATCAATTATAAGCGACTGCTATTTTCTTTCAGTGAGTTGTAGTTGCATCTAATCTCCATACCTACACACCAAGGCATCTCCTCTCATTTCATCTTGAAATCAATACAATAAACTTAATTACCTGTAGTTGCATGTGTCCCCTTGAAATTTATGAGCAGATCAAAAAATTGGTTTGCTGATACAGCGAATATGTTCTGTCAAAATGCCAACATCTGGAAAATTAAGTCATATGTGTGATCATTTTCTACTAAACGATGGCTTTGTATTCATGTTGATTTCGCCAAACCATTTTATATTACTCATTCGTGTTGTTGCTTGTTTCACATGCCTAAAGTTACTTCTTACTAATTTTATTATTTCAAGTGTTACAATGTCTCAACCAAGTCAGTTATTCAGCTGTTCTATAACCCCGATCTCAGGTTAACACTATTTTTATCTTCGTTTATGTATTTATATCCTTAATAAAAATGACTCAAAGCCATTAATAATAATAATAATAATAATAATAATAATAATAATAATAATAAATAATCGTGTAAGTTTATTTTAAACCAGCTATATTAAACATTTTTTGCTGTTCAATTTTATTTGCAAAAATAGCTATACAGTCTGTGGATTTTAAATTTGGTCCTCATATAATCAAATCGGATTGTGTCTTTTATCAATCGAAGTTAAGCTTTGCGTTCGTAAATATTAGTCCATTGGTACCAGGACGTATCCTTTTTTGTATCATATTTTATTTACATCTTAAAGGACTAGTAAATGTTTGTCGAAAACAAAACATAAATTTATTTATTTATATATTTAAACACATAAACATTGGTACAAGGAGGCACCCAATAGATCTGCACCACATAAATCGTTCGATTTGTGTGAGGGCTGTAATACTGCCCGGGTGCCGAAACTGAAGCGGGTGGTTTTTTTCTTAGGGGGCCACACCCGGAGCCTTTGACCTAACGATCTGGTCCACAAGGCAGTGGAGCGACGTAGGGAGATGCAGTTTCATGGTTGCCGGTGACCAACGATTGGTTCGCACACAATTTGTTCCCTCAATATACTGGAGCCCATGTGCATCATTTGTTTGGAATCAGGGTTTTTCAACTCTTCTGTGTAGACCCTCTATACCCACTAAACCGGTTAAAGCTCCGGATATTCGCGTTTCGTTTTCTCAATTTCGTAAAGAACAGTAATACCGCGAGAAGGCATTGAGTGGGACTTCCCTGTCAGTGGTTGTATGCACGTGGCCATGTGAGAGCATTTGGAGAGGGAGAGTTGACTCTCCCCACCCTCGACCGTAACAGGGCATTACTAATGTGCTACCTTAACTCCTTCCTCTCCAGTTCATCCCTGAACTCATATTGGTCAAATCCCTATCAACTATTCTTTGTATGGTTGTGCATCGGACTGCCGCTCTTTTTGGAGTACCTATTCGGACTCTGATTATGTCCTTGTTTTCACTTAGCTGACCTTGCTTTTTAATGACTAACAGACGTCTCATCCCAAAGCGATTGACATAGGTGAATTGGTTGAGGCTTCCATTGCAATCACAATACCGAACCGAGTTAGGTTTAAGTCTAGTAGTCAGTCCATCAGGATTTGCATGATGCCTTGGAGATAGCGGGTCGCATCTCTTGCGGTTTTGTGAGACACTTCAGTCTACTTCAACTAACCGTAAGTTTGACGGCAGTGATCGGACAAGAAGTTTAGTCTCGTCGAGAGCAGCTATGAGTAATGAAGGAGAAATGGAAAAGATAAGGTAGTGGCGATAGGTAAAACCACATATTTTTTTCGGTTCATCGAGGTAACTGATGTTAAATATTCAGCTGTCAGTGAGACTATTTCGGAAGAAAACTCATGAAGAAACCAAAAATCCAGTAGTTAGTGAATTTATTGCGGAAAAGATCGAACAATGTTCTACCCAGCCCAATGTATTGGGACGATGGATGGTAAACTTTGAAGAACAGTTTAACTGCTTTCCAGCTACCTCCAGTTGTCTACTGTTACCAAGCAACCTGAATGGGATACCAACATATGCTCCTCGACTCTTAGTGATGTTGAAAAATCCATGACTAATCTAAACTGAGAGAATCCAGGTTTTGATAAATTAACTCCGTAGTTCTGTGAAGATGGTGGTCCGGTTTTTTGGAAGTTTGATTATCTTGGATAGCAGTTTGAGTTTAGGGACTGGAAGTAATCTTGGTGAGACTATAATATATGGACAATCTTTGAGGCACGCTATAATGACCTTGGAATGTCCACCTACTTACTAGGGTTACATGTTAGTGTAAGGAACTAGGGTTAAGGCTTACAACTGAACGTTAGTGGTATGAATTATATTTAACGTTTCATCATGAACTGACCACAGCTGTAATACCAAAATGATATTTAGCCAAATAATTGAATGGATTTCGCACTAAAATCCGAGATCTGTCTTGAACCTGATTGGTTCCCCCATAACTTATAGTTTCGCTGTAATCTTATCTGACTGGACACAGTCGTTGATCATTCTAGTTTATAGGAAATATCAGAAGTCCTGTTGTGTTAACCACAGGAAAATCAGTTTGACTAATATATTATCTAAAACATTAGTCTCAGTTACCATCCAATACTTAACTGGGGCTCATGAAGAACGAACCAGGATGGTTTGAGACTTGAATGGGAATGTGTAGACTAAATTTTTGCCCTTCGTCACGTTCTGGGACACAGAAATACCTACCAGCTGCCAACTAGTTATATTTCTTGACATAGATAGAGTTCAACTGTCTAGGTGAAACATCAGCTGTAAAGGGTTTGACACATGTGTCTGAGTTGATCAACATGTTTTTTAACAGTGTCTGTATTTGAAAGGCATCAGGACTGTCCGCTGCCACCGTTTATACACAATTTTATCACAGACACGTTTTTAGAAACAGCGATTTTATCATCTGATTTATTAGGAATCGATCTATTACGAAACTAACTTGTTGAATTAGAATACGTAAATGACACAGTCCTGTTTGTTGAAGACGCTGTCAAAGGACAAAATCTTCTGATCGTGTTGAGTATCAATGCAAGCTTTCTGGGGATTCATTTCTCTTCTTTCAAACACAACCTGGTCTGCTTCAACCTATAGATCGATTATAGTGAATGAAGAATTTGTGTGCGTCGGCCACTTCACTCATCTTGTAAGCTTTATCAGAAAGCTTGGTTGGCTTTCTCCAACCGTGTCACATGTAGCATCGGTATAATATTCGTCTACATACTAATAGTCGGGGATGCTTCACAAGTTGTCCCTGTTTCACTTTATGGCTGTAAAATGTTGCCACCTAAAGTAGAGGAGACTCTTAAATTAGCAGTATTTAATGACCAAATTAACTCCTCCTGTAACTTTTCTAGGGTTACTGCAGTTCCCAAGCCCGGGGAAATGAGGATAGTTGGGCATGTAGTCAGCAAGCATGCGAAAAAACACTGACCAAGAGAAGAAGATTTAAACCATTTATACTCTTCTAACAACAATAGCAATAATTAATATAGGTACATGGAATGTTCGGACAATGTATGAGATCGATCAATCAAACAGCTACGAAAATGAGGTAAATTAACTTGGTGGTTCTCGAAATAAGTGAATCCGATTGTACGAAAGTTGGACAGGAAAGATTAGTTTCGTGGTAGATTCTTTTGTACACTGGTTGTGAAGAATGAAATACTTCGTACATACGGAAGTACACTGATGCTGTCCAAAGAAGCACGAATATTACTTATGTGATAAGAATCTCGTGGATCCAGGGTTATCAAAACAAAAAAGGAAAAGATCACAATGAATGTTATCCAGTTACATACACCTACCAATTATAATTGGCAATAATTCGAAAACTGGTTCCAACTTTTTAGTATTTGTTGTTATAACATCGAGTGTAAAAAAGTTTACATAATTACTTAATTTGTCAAAGCACTTTGTATGTTACTTTGGCTATGAACTAGAAAAGCGGAGACCCGCGTTCGTTCAAATGGATATGGTTTACTCGTCTTCTCATATCCCTAAATGGAGGCAAATAGACTTTTGACGGTCTTCAGATTGCTTTTGGTAATGGTTAAGGTGCTCTTTACGAACTGGCTTTAACTATAGAGATGTTTTGTAACTATGTGGGTGGATGGATTTGTCGCAAGAATCCAATATATTGTATCCTGAGTCTCATCTATTCGTCCTTAAATTATAATACCACTGGATTAAGGTTTATTTCAAGACTAGAAATTATTGTTCTTTTCCCTGTAATGTGCAATCTACATAGGAAAAATTGAGTGTTTGATACATTTAACACCAGTTTTACTCCACAATGACAGGAAGTTTTTTGTTTCAAGCGTTTTGAACACCATATAAAGATTATTATCACTCATTTTAGGCCAGTTTTGTATTTTGCGCAAAAACCTAGCTCCTTTTCTCGATTCTGATGGTATCATTCTCACATTTTACTTTTACTAGAGTAATTGTTACTAAACACATATCACAAATCAGATTATGCTTATTTTCTTTTGACGAATAAGTTTCAATATAGACATACTTGTTTGTCCGATTGCTAGTGTGCAAAGATTTTGTCATCTAAATTTGGCACAAGTCGCTGATCTTTATATGACTGTCAGACAGATTGCTGAACGACTAGCTGGATATTTTTCAGCTACAAGCTTAACCATATCTATGCAAGATGGAGAAGATGCTGGTCAAAGTGTGTCAGTAAGTTTTTTACTGAAAAAATGTTATTCTTTCAGATTATCTTTGTAAAATAATTATGCCTTAATAGTTTAGCGATTGAAGCACATGCTTGTGTTCCAACTAACGGAAATCCTGTCTTTCAGTTTGGACATCCAAGTATTATCATTAGTGGTAGTCGTAGTAATAGTAAAAAGAACCGTTTTGAACTGCTAAATTGTTCATTTTATTCTGTATTCAGCATTAGACAATTAAGTAGTATTGTTTAGTAGCCTAATTTTATTTCTACTGATATGATATTTAACTTGCTGGTCAATCGTAGTCTCAATGTTCCATTGTACAACACTCATATCTCACTAGAAAATTTAACTAGGTTATCAATATTTGATGGAGTGGTGAACTTGTTAGTAAGCTAATAATTAGGTATAAATATTCCTGATTAGTCACCATATCTGTGCTTCATTGTATATAATCTCATTGATCGTGTGTATCACAGCCTGTATGCTGTTTGCTGTAAAATGTCATTCAAGTTTGGTTATTTTCTGGACGAAACTCACTGTCTTTCACATATGGCGATTCTGTTGATGATATTGAACTGACTTGCGTAGTTTATCGTATACCAATAGGATAACTGCATTTCGGATATATAAGAGTAGCTACATTCCATTACATTTGTTAGGTTATGTTACCTTTTCATGTCATCTGCGTGTAAAAGGGTAAACTCACGTTAAAAATATGTATTATTTTCCTTTCGTAAGCTGGAGCCAAAGTTAATGTTAAGAAAAGATGAACCTCAAAAATCAATAAGGGCTGGATAGTTTTCGTATGATCACCCTTAAAACGCCTAAAACAAGGGTTTGCTTCATCAACGATACCCAACAACTCATGATTATTACCGGCCGACTGTCTATTTATTTCATAGAGCCCCTTTGTTTCTAGTGCTACCTTGAATAAGACAACCGGGATATATACAACTTATAAACTAATCTAATCTCTACCAAACCCATTCAAGTAAACTGTCAGATTAACAAATATTGTGCATATATTTGACCAATCTTAAATTAGTATTTTATTGTACTTTAGCCTACCTCAAGTATCAGTCAACTTGTGATTGAGGCAAATGAATTTGGTTCATTTGCATAATGCTTTCTTAATTACTCATTTATTCAAATGTAAATTATGATCATATGGTTGTACTCTGTAATTTATCAGAAATTACTGTAACTAGTTTTCTGTAATAACCATTTTGGCCTTTATTCTAACTGTAATCAGCATTTTTTAATCGTTAGTCAATTGAATTTCTAATAGTCAATAGAAATGAGATATCAATCGATTGACAAAAGTTGTTTAAATATTTAGGTTTTCAATGTTTAGAATGAAAATCTCGAATTCACTTAGAATAATTCCGGCCAATTAACCTTTTCCTAAGGTATTTAGAAAAGGTCAATAGTTACTCCAATCTATGTCTAGACGTACTTATCCTTAAACATTCCCGACCGTAGCGCCTACCTTGACGTGGTGGTCGGGCTTGCCTATTGTGATGACCCAACTGAGCTATACTTGCTGGAACATATGTTCCTGTACGTTCTACCATGCCATGCAGGTCGATTGGAGAACGGTAAGATTGAAAGCAGCAACTCAAGGTCTGAGGGTGAAGTCGTACTGTTGACTGTAGACGGGTGTGAGAGCATTCAGGTGTTTCCCTCAGACAACCAGCATCTGCAGCGATACTGCCTTCTCAGAAGGAAGGAAGGGGTTGGAAAAGGTGGACCCTAAAATTGTCACACCTCACCTTATCTCACGGATTCCCGTCTCCGGCGGTAAGGCCTTTTGATGAACGGAGCTAACACGTTAAAAACTTCCCACAAAGAAGCTGTGAGCGACCCGTCTCTGCGGTCGCGCTCTCAGGTCGTTAAGACTAACACTAATCCAACTCCTTTTTCAGCTTCAAGAAATACCCTTCCTCGGTGTGGGCAGCCGGGAAGTGACATCGGACCTCATACCCGTAACAACGCACGAGACAAAGTTTGTCATAATCAAATTCTTCCTACCTTTCTCAAGTTCCTTTGTCGCCTCGCGCCGCTAATGCAAACGATTCGAGTATGCGAAACGTTATTCCTGGTCTCCTGAAACCACACTCTTAACTACATGTAGGAGCTTTTAACATCCGAACACTTTGCCAAATAGGACAGCAGGCTTCCTTAGCTAGGACTTTAGAATCTCGCACCATCGATGTGTGCTGCGTCTCCGAAACGCGCATACAAGATCCGAGTAGCGTCATTCATTTAACCTCACCATGCCAAAATAAAGAACCGACTCGATTTACGTTTCGTGTATCTGGAAGCCCTGATGCTGCTTCCCATGGCCTCGTCGGTGTAGGTGTGGCAATGATTTCTAGGGCGGAACTAGCTCTCCTAGACTGGATCCCAGTAGACAGTCGTTTGTGCGCTGTCTGACTAAACGGAACAGTAAGGACTCAGAAAGATAGGGACACACGTCGTTACTTCTTCGTCGTCTCTGCCCACTCTCCCACTGACTGCAGCTCAGATGATGTAAAAGATGAGTTTTACAGAAAGCTTTCTGACCTTCTCCAAGATGTTAGGTGCTCTGATGTAGCAGTAGCGGCTGGTGACTTTAATGCTTAAGTAGGTAAACTAAGCGAAAAGGAAAGACACCTGGGTGGATTTTATGTTGTCGTGGCTCAAAGAACAGATGATGGCGATCATCTGTTGCAGATTTGCTCAGATAACCGCCTGTTCCTTGCAAATACTAACTTTAAGCATAAGGAAAACATCTTTTAACATGGCGACCCCCTAATTCGTCCCAACGTCGAACCTAACTAGATCACATTGCTATCAGCCACCGATGGTCAGTCAGTCAGAAATAACGTAGAACTTCGTACGTACGTACATCAGTTCGAGTTGCCACACCACATTAGCACAGAGATGCAGTTGTCGATTCAAATCCCGTAGTGGTAGAGGTAATAAGAGTATAAGCAGTAATCGGGAAGATTAGGGTTTGGAGATGTTATTTAAAGAGTATAATCCAGTGAAATAAATTTGGAAAGTGGAAAAAAGGGACATGAAGAATTCAGAAGATTAAAATTTGGGAGAACACAAAGAGTGTATGCACCTGCGCCATTCCAAACGATTCCGAGCAATGTCATTCAGGATCTCTAACCATCGGTTGCTATCATCTCGTGGTCCCCAACCAGGTAGTCTACACCTACCAACATGATTCAGTCCACTTGTCAGTGACTTCATGGACTTGTGCCATGTTTTGGTCTGGCCGCCCCTAGCTTTCTTTCAACCTACTCCTATACCACTGAACATAGCACGTCGAGGTAGTCGGTCGTTGGGCATACGTAACACGTGTCCCAGCCATCTCAACTGATGCAGTTTTACTACTTCATCAATTGATTTGCCATCCCCACCTAGTACCCGTTTCCTAACAACTGTGTTACTTACTCGATGGTCCCATGATATATGAGCAATATTTCGAAGACACCTATGATCAAATACTAGTAGCCTACGGATATCCTCTACTCTTACCGGGATTTGAATCGACAATTGTATCTGTGTGGTAATGTGGTATGGCAACTTGAACTGATGTACGTACGTACAAAGTTCTGCGTTGTTGCTGACTGACTGACTGATCCTTAAACATTTGCTAATGTACTTACGCTTTGAAAGGTATAATTTTAAGATTAATCACAACTTAGAATGTGTGACATTTTCTCTTTGGTCGATGTAGTTTTTAAGTTTCTATTTGTTGGGAATTCCTATAATGTCCTTCGTCAAAGTTTCTAGAAGCCCTGGAAACTTTTGATTCAGCATTTAATAGAAGTTTCTCGGGAGCATCTAGAAATGAGTGATTATGATGTATCGCGCTTTGATTGGATCATTGCCTATGTTGTTATCATATTTTTGACATGTTTCCAGGATGTTCTTGAAGCCTGAGGTCACGCGGGACGATAAGTATGCACAGTTTTTTTGTATATGACTAACCTTTGGGTAAACGTCTTACTGTTCGCTCTGTTTACCTATTCACTTTGAAGTGTAGGAGTAGTCTGAAGCTATAGGAAGTGGCTAGAAAGTTAGAAACAAGCGTTTAAGTAGCGAACTTATCACTACTAATCTTTCTAGACTGTTCCATGTGACGCGAATAGTTTCCGTGCTTGTTACTCTTTAATCTCATTTAACTGGTGTAATAATTCAGTCTTTTGTTGTAATTCCTGTTTCATGAACACAGCATATGTTTGAGTAAAGTGTAGCTCAATAATTTAAAAATGTACTCTTCTTCTAACTATTGAAGTCATAATGATAAACCCTTTGGAATTCAATATAATTTGTGGACCTCACATAAGAGAAACAATCTCAGCGATTGAAATTCAAATGATTAAAACATTTCGTTCAGCAAACGTGTCTGAACTTTTTCAGGGTGTTAATCACAATTGTCCAAAAATATATGATGTTTAACAATCAAATCAAATCTTTACTGTGTTTATCCAGTCATATTCAGATGTAAGGTTGAAGAAACACAAACAATGAAAAATGTTTTCAAATCCTCTGTTAATCTGAAGTTACTTGAGAATAGATCGGTAATAGCGTTACATACATTAGGAACTGGGCACTAGATCACTTTTGAAGGTATCAAAATACTTCAGAAAGGTTTTATTACATATAAAGAAAGATTGGAAACGGAAGTGCTGTATATGTGAGCTAATGTGAACAGAGAAGATGGTATTCAACTATCTACTACATGGCAAATGTTAATTAACAAGTAACTGAATTCTATCTCTATTCATATGCATCGTTATTCTGACAAGAATTAATTGGAATATTTTAGCATTACAATTATATACGTGATGATTCTCATTTTACATACTCACAGACGGTTCAAAAAACAATTTCAACTAGCACTATTATTTTTACTTCATGTAAAAACAAATCAATACCTAGGATCAATATGCCTATACACAATCATTCATTTATTTCCACATTGTAAACTATTCACATGATTCTCATATAGCTAGCTCATGTTATCCTACTTACATCTGAATATGATTAGATAAGCACAGTAGAAACTTGATTTGATTGTTAAATAGTATAAATTTCTTTGGTAATTTTGATTATTACCCTGAAGAAGTCCAGGCAAGTTTGCTGAACGAAACGTTGGAATTACTTAAATTTCAATTGCCCTAGATTAATTCAAATATATAATGTCTTCTCTGTACTTGGCGTCCGATATTTGTCGAACTATTTATTCTAATATTGACAAATTTTGTATAAATAGTACACAAACGTATTTCTAGTTTGTTTTTAATCCATCCATTATGATTAACATTTTTGATGGTTCTCTATTTCATTATAACGATTGTTATTATCACTATTATTATCAGCATGTTCACGTCCATGTATTGCCAAGAAAACCAAATGATTTCCCAGAGAACGATGATATTTATAAAGCAGTAAGTACTTTCTACTGTTCAGTGTTCTCTTTCAGTTAATGATAATCATTTCCTCTAAGTTATCATACCAAATGGATACTAAGTTTATTATTTTTCGGACTTAACATTTTATTTATTTATTTATTTAATTATAATGCTTTATATTCTCAAATATACTCCTACAAATACCAATTTTGTAAATTTCACATCATTCTATCATAGTCTATCTTTGTGTCAATAAAGTAGAAGTTGTTCACATATTCCTGATTTTGTGGCCAATCTAGCGTAAATTGTGACTACATTATCCTTACCAGAATGTAAACAAAGACATCTCAACTTACATCTGATTCTGTCCTCTATTCACTGGTTGTGCTTTTTGCAAGTAACTTCAAAGGTTGAACCGATGAAGTGAAGTCTCGAAATTTACAATCTATTGTTCCATATTAAACCTTAAACAACCGGATATTGCCCGAACTACTGTAAGCTTTTATAGTTTAATTGATGAAGACATTAATAAAATGTAGTGTTTTAAGCAAGTTGAGTGGAAGTATAAACATGTTTAATATCTTACGTTAGAGGCGTCAGATAGTTGACCCAGTTTTGAGCTAAAAAAGCGTCTAGTTTGATTGCAGAACATTTAAGCCACTAAATTTAATTCAAGAGTCACATCAACCTTGAAAATTTTGTTACCATAATAGCCTAAATCTGATTAGAATAAGTACTTTTGACATTCTCTACATATACTATCTATGGTATACGGATGTCTATGGAGATTTAAGTTTACTGATCAATGTGGGTTTTGTGCTAATGCAGCTTTTACACTCGAAATGGTGAATAATCAAAATTTGCATATGCTCAGACTACTGAGTAAGCACTAGTGGTATTGCGTGTACAGCTAAACTTTAAGGATCTAAATTAGTTGTTAATCTGTATTTACTAGGGCAACAAAAGTAACAAATGTCTAACTATTATCTAGCCCTAAACACTATAATTGTAATGAAGTAAAACTGCTAAAGGAACGATCATATAATCCAGTTTTTTGTCATTAAAAGATAGTCCTACCTGGTGTGGATTACTGTGAAAACACTTCTAATTCGTATTTTCACAATGACTGTTATCTTATTTATTGTCGTTACTTCGAATTCGCAAATTTTGTTGTACCAAGGTCATTACGTGTTACCATTATTTACGGAGCTATTTCATTCCAGTTTTGACGCATTGGTTTTCTTGAATATCAGGGAAAGTAATAGCTTTTAAGATCAATTATCCACTGTATCGAGTTCTATTTACTGTTTATCCAATACTCCTCTAACAGCGTCAGTCTTGAGTGCTGTTAGAGGTATGAGGGCGGTTATCACTTCCCGGTTGCCCACATCGTGGAAGGGTTGTTCTGGAGGTACCTGAAAAGGAAATTGGATTAGAGGTGGTCTTAGTGACCTGGGAGCGTGACCGCACTGCCCAAGGGACAACTGCTTGAGGTCGGTCACATACGACCTTTTTATGGGTAATTTTTGTGTTAGCTCCGTACTTTTTAGGACCTTACCGCCAGAGACGGATATCCGTGGGATAAGGCAAGGTGGGAAGGCAGCATCGCTGTCATTCTGGTTGTCTGAAGGAAACACCTTACTGCTGTCACACCTCTGTACAGTCAGCAGTACGACTTCGCTTTCGGACCTTGGGTTTGTTGCTTTTAGTCTTACCGCTCTTCAACCGACCTGTCTGACATGGTAGGACCTTGAGGAACAGTTGTTCCAGTCAGTATAGCTCGCTTGCTTCATCACGATAGGCAAGCCCGACCACCACGTCAAGGTAGCAACAACGGTCGGGTTCTAACAGCGTACTACACTATCTCTCTGAATATTGCAATATGTGATCTGTAGCACTCTCAGATTGCTTTAGTATATCGAGAAAAACTAATGCATAAATGTAAATCTTGTAATTCACATAAATTTTTAAGAAGTACATTTCATTTTATGTATGTTCTCATTGTAGTTACAAAGTCATGATAAAGTGAGGGATCGCGTCTATCGATCACACGATGTAATGAGTGCAGAAGCCAAACAACTTCGGCAGTTATACTACCAAAACACTTCATAACGTTCATCAAACCGTTAATATTTTTCTTCCTTCTATCCTACTATGTACCTCGTTCATTCCTTTGTTCTGTTTTAATTTTCACTTTCATGTTAATTATGCATTAGTTATTTGCTATTGATGTTATGTACTGTTTGTTGTCTATATTACCTTTCTAACTACCCTTTCGTATTTACTATTTTCGATGCTGAATAATTAGATGCGGTAACACGAAAGCGTAATTTGTTTAGAAGCGAGATTGTTATTGTAGTTTTAGTTATTTCTCTTTATTACGGACATAAAAATATTTTTGTTTGTTGCTGATATTTGATTTAGCATTCAGTTTCTTTCAGACTGAGCTAATAATCATTTATATTATTTTAAGAAAATGTATTTGTCTTACTATAAATACAAGCCTTTCTGTCTCAATTTCTTTAAAAGTGTTGTGCTTTAAGTTGATTTTCGGGTATCGTATCTTTATATCTGTCTACTTTGACTTTTTCAATTAAATGTCGATAGACATCTTCAGTTTATAACTAAATTTACCGTAGCTATGTTATGTTTAGTCTATTTGTCTGGCTTCCAGCGCTATTCAGATAGTGTCGGTGTCCTACAAATTTATAACCAAGTTTATGAAAAACACGTGAAAATTAATATAAAAAGTAAATTAACAATGACAAACAAGTGTGCAATTTGTTACTTCTGAGGCAATAAGTCCAAAATGATTCCACAAATCCATGTAGCAGTAATATTATGTCAAAAACGGTTTATATGTGTTGATATTATAGTAAAGATATATGATAGCAGGGAATCGTCAGTAGCAACTACAATATGCAGAGGCAGTTTTTCTACGTACACGATATTAGTAAAACATAAACATCACTGACAAGTGCGATATTTATGAAACAGTAGTAACATAAATATTTTCACCGCAGAAGTCAATCATAAAAGCAGACAGCAATTAAGCAAGTCAATTCAAAAAGAAACAGTACGTAAAATCAATAAAACATAAATGTGCGATCATGTAGAACTTCCAGAAAAAAAATTGATGACAAACAGATATATTCATGGTATTCAAACATGGTGGTCTGCAAGTTGTTCGTAATCACCGTCAAGGATTTATTCTTGTGATTTGTTGCATGGTAAGAACCGTCGACCAAGAATCGAAGTTTTCTTTGGCAGCCCTACACATGGGCTAATATCAATTGCACAGTAGTATGGTGGTCGGATGTGTTGGGTGCAAATCAAATCTTAGCCATCCTCAACACACAGATGAAGTCAACTGTCACTTACTCACTTACTTACTCACTCATTCACTCACTCACTGGCTCGCTCGCATGCTCGCACGCTTGCTCGATCGCACGTTTCATTGGGTGTGTTCAACGATGGGTTTGGTGTGAACGAGGCTAGTTGACATTTCTTGTCTACTGATAAGTTGTGGTTGTGAGTAGTGTATGAAGTGCACTTATTATTGTTGAGATTGGTGTTAGTATGTGGTGTATTATGGTTTCCCAGTGGTTGTGTGCAGGCGTGTATGCATGTAGTAGTGTTGAATGTAGTGGTGAGGAGCTATTACTGTTGTGTTTGCTGTTGTCGAGTGATGATTGTGTTGACAGAGATGATTAATTTGCAAATGGATGAATGGGAGTGAGGTGTTGTTTGATAGTAGGGTTGGTAGACTGTGAGCGGTTCGGATTAACCGTCACGGTTTTACTCTTGTGATTTGTTGCATGGTAAGAACCGTCGACCAAGAATCGAAGTTTTCTTTGGCAGCCCTACACATGGGCTAATATCAATTGCACAGTAGTATGGTGGTCGGATGTGTTTGGTGCAAATCAAATCTTAGCCATCCTCAACACACAGATGAAGTCAACTGTCACTTACTCACTTACTTACTCACTCATTCACTCACTCACTGGCTCGCTCGCATGCTCGCACGCTTGCTCGATCGCACGTTTCATTGGGTGTGTTCAACGATGGGTTTGGTGTGAACGAGGCTAGTTGACATTTCTTGTCTACTGATAAGTTGTGGTTGTGAGTAGTGTATGAAGTGCACTTATTATTGTTGAGATTGGTGTTAGTATGTGGTGTATTATGGTTTCCCAGTGGTTGTGTGCAGGCGTGTATGCATGTAGTAGTGTTGAATGTAGTGGTGAGGAGCTATTACTGTTGTGTTTGCTGTTGTCGAGTGATGATTGTGTTGACAGAGATGATTAATTTGCAAATGGATGAATGGGAGTGAGGTGTTGTTTGATAGTAGGGTTGGTAGACTGTGAGCGGTTCGGATTAACCGTCACGGTTTTACTCTTGTGATTTGTTGCATGGTAAGAACCGTCGACCAAGAATCGAAGTTTTCTTTGGCAGCCCTACACATGGGCTAATATCAATTGCACAGTAGTATGGTGGTCGGATGTGTTTGGTGCAAATCAAATCTTAGCCATCCTCAACACACAGATGAAGTCAACTGTCACTTACTCACTTACTTACTCACTCATTCACTCACTCACTGGCTCGCTCGCATGCTCGCACGCTTGCTCGATCGCACGTTTCATTGGGTGTGTTCAACGATGGGTTTGGTGTGAACGAGGCTAGTTGACATTTCTTGTCTACTGATAAGTTGTGGTTGTGAGTAGTGTATGAAGTGCACTTATTATTGTTGAGATTGGTGTTAGTATGTGGTGTATTATGGTTTCCCAGTGGTTGTGTGCAGGCGTGTATGCATGTAGTAGTGTTGAATGTAGTGGTGAGGAGCTATTACTGTTGTGTTTGCTGTTGTCGAGTGATGATTGTGTTGACAGAGATGATTAATTTGCAAATGGATGAATGGGAGTGAGGTGTTGTTTGATAGTAGGGTTGGTAGACTGTGAGCGGTTCGGATTAACCGTCACGGTTTTACTCTTGTGATTTGTTGCATGGTAAGAACCGTCGACCAAGAATCGAAGTTTTCTTTGGCAGCCCTACACATGGGCTAATATCAATTGCACAGTAGTATGGTGGTCGGATGTGTTTGGTGCAAATCAAATCTTAGCCATCCTCAACACACAGATGAAGTCAACTGTCACTTACTCACTTACTTACTCACTCATTCACTCACTCACTGACTCGCTCGCATGCTCGCACGCTTGCTCGATCGCACGTTTCATTGGGTGTGTTCAACGATGGGTTTGGTGTGAACGAGGCTAGTTGACATTTCTTGTCTACTGATAAGTTGTGGTTGTGAGTAGTGTATGAAGTGCACTTATTATTGTTGAGATTGGTGTTAGTATGTGGTGTATTATGGTTTCCCAGTGGTTGTGTGCAGGCGTGTATGCATGTAGTAGTGTTGAATGTAGTGGTGAGGAGCTATTACTGTTGTGTTTGCTGTTGTCGAGTGATGATTGTGTTGACAGAGATGATTAATTTGCAAATGGATGAATGGGAGTGAGGTGTTGTTTGATAGTAGGGTTGGTAGACTGTGAGCGGTTCGGATTAACCGTCACGGTTTTACTCTTGTGATTTGTTGCATGGTAAGAACCGTCGACCAAGAATCGAAGTTTTCTTTGGCAGCCCTACACATGGGCTAATATCAATTGCACAGTAGTATGGTGGTCGGATGTGTTTGGTGCATCCTCAACACACAGATGAAGTCAACTGTCACTTACTCACTTACTTACTCACTCATTCACTCACTCACTGGCTCGCTCGCATGCTCGCACGCTTGCTCGATCGCACGTTTCATTGGGTGTGTTCAACGATGGGTTTGGTGTGAACGAGGCTAGTTGACATTTCTTGTCTACTGATAAGTTGTGGTTGTGAGTAGTGTATGAAGTGCACTTATTATTGTTGAGATTGGTGTTAGTATGTGGTGTATTATGGTTTCCCAGTGGTTGTGTGCAGGCGTGTATGCATGTAGTAGTGTTGAATGTAGTGGTGAGGAGCTATTACTGTTGTGTTTGCTGTTGTCGAGTGATGATTGTGTTGACAGAGATGATTAATTTGCAAATGGATGAATGGGAGTGAGGTGTTGTTTGATAGTAGGGTTGGTAGACTGTGAGCGGTTCGGATTAACCGTCACGGTTTTACTCTTGTGATTTGTTGCATGGTAAGAACCGTCGACCAAGAATCGAAGTTTTCTTTGGCAGCCCTACACATGGGCTAATATCAATTGCACAGTAGTATGGTGGTCGGATGTGTTTGGTGCAAATCAAATCTTAGCCATCCTCAACACACAGATGAAGTCAACTGTTACTTACTCACTTACTTACTCACTCATTCACTCACTCACTGACTCGCTCGCATGCTCGCACGCTTGCTCGATCGCACGTTTCATTGGGTGTGTTCAACGATGGGTTTGGTGTGAACGAGGCTAGTTGACATTTCTTGTCTACTGATAAGTTGTGGTTGTGAGTAGTGTATGAAGTGCACTTATTATTGTTGAGATTGGTGTTAGTATGTGGTGTATTATGGTTTCCCAGTGGTTGTGTGCAGGCGTGTATGCATGTAGTAGTGTTGAATGTAGTGGTGAGGAGCTATTACTGTTGTGTTTGCTGTTGTCGAGTGATGATTGTGTTGACAGAGATGATTAATTTGCAAATGGATGAATGGGAGTGAGGTGTTGTTTGATAGTAGGGTTGGTAGACTGTGAGCGGTTCGGATTAACCGTCACGGTTTTACTCTTGTGATTTGTTGCATGGTAAGAACCGTCGACCAAGAATCGAAGTTTTCTTTGGCAGCCCTACACATGGGCTAATATCAATTGCACAGTAGTATGGTGGTCGGATGTGTTTGGTGCAAATCAAATCTTAGCCATCCTCAACACACAGATGAAGTCAACTGTTACTTACTCACTTACTTACTCACTCATTCACTCACTCACTGACTCGCTCGCATGCTCGCACGCTTGCTCGATCGCACGTTTCATTGGGTGTGTTCAACGATGGGTTTGGTGTGAACGAGGCTAGTTGACATTTCTTGTCTACTGATAAGTTGTGGTTGTGAGTAGTGTATGAAGTGCACTTATTATTGTTGAGATTGGTGTTAGTATG